CATGATTTTGCTTGTATGAGGTATTTAGAGGGATCAAAGTAATAGAATTGTGAAATAGAGGTTGCCAGGGGTTGGGGGAGGGAGGAATAGAGAGTTATTGTTTAATGGGTACAGTTGCAGTTTGGGATGATGAAAAAGTTCTGGAGATGTGCAGTGGTGATGGTTGCAAACAATGTAAATATACTTAACACTCCTGAACTATATACTTTAAAATGGCTCAAATGGTAAATTTTGTTATGTATATTTTAACACAATTTTTTAAAAAAGCAAACCTCTTTCGGAGAGGATAGTTATACCGAGAATCAAGAGCCAAGTCAACTGTACCCTTAACACAGATCACATTTCTCATCCTCCCCAATGTCTACTCTAAATTCCTTGTTAGCATATTCCCTCCCATGATGCTTTGCTTCATTCTACACCAAAAAACTGAGCTATATCAAGCAACTAATCTTCAGAAACAGCCTAGCCATTTCAGAGAGATCTTCATGTAGTTGTACAATTTTCAGCCAATCAATAATTGAAGGTTTTTCCATGAGACGCCAACTCACCTTTCTGAAATAGGAACCTTGCTTATTGGGAGTGATGAGTAGGGGGCGGTATTCCTTAGCTTTGCGCAGTGGCAGTATCGTAGCCAATGAGGTTTATCCGAGGCGCGATTATTGCTAATTGAAAACTTTTCCCAATACCCCGCCGTGACGACTTGAAATACAGTCGGCACTGGCAATTTTTGACAGTCTCTACGGAGACTGAATATTCTGGTTTGAAGAACGGAAGAAATATAGTTGCCCATAGGATAAGTTCGTAGTTTACAATGTGAAGGTTTTTTTTGGTTAGTCCTGTCGAAATGTCTTGAAATGTGATACAAGGCTTTTTTTCACCAAGCATGGGGGCAGGTATTTCAAAAAGGCCGTGGGTTTTTCCCGGTACTTAGCAGTTCGTTTAAAGCTCTGAAATGGGGTTGGTAACCACTGATAGCATCAGATCGCGGATGACCACAGACGTGTGAGAATGTGGGCGTGTTCATCAGAAACTTGAGAGTGGTCACCCACAGCACCGCATCAATTAAAAAAAATTTTTTCTTATTAATGTTGCTTGTTGATTTCTGTTTCCCGAGCGTTTTCTCCACGGTAATTTGAGGTCTTTTAACTCTTTTTCTGAAAAATCCCCCTCCGGTTCTAGGCACACCCGCCTCCAGCTTTTCGTCTCTTTTCCTCTTACCCTCCTTTTCCCGGTCTCCCCACCGCTCGGTTTCTCGCTTAAGAGTTGAAGTCAACCCGATGGCCTCTGTGACGTCGTAATTTGCATAAAGTTTCCCAGCATCCTCAGCGAAAGCGCTCTTGTTTCCAAAATTTAAATGTTCAACTCGAGATGATCCAACAGCAAGAAGCCCCTTATGCAGACCGGCCTTAAATCTAACCGTTTGCCGGGAAACACGTGGTGTTCACGAACTTGCTGGCGATCGCTCACCCTCACTAGAAAAACAGTTGTCGTCCATGGT